AAAAAACATCATGTTCTTGTACGCTATAACAAAACATTACTGCCCAGAGCTTGTTCAAATGTTGTACTTGATTTAGAAACAAAAGATTCTCCTTATCCATACAAAAGAAAAGGTTTTATGTAGATTCGGTGTTATATGAACAAAACGAGGGGTGAGAATCAAAACCAGAGATGAGTTGGCCCTTGGTTTTGAGCCACTTGTCGATGTGGGACATAAAAGTGCCCTACGTGCAACATATACATCTTGATGGGTGGCATTTAATTGGCAAATTAAACATATCAAACGGATGCCTCTAATTGGAAGGTGCTTATTATGATTGGATTAAAATGGATCGATCGTCATCCACTTGCTCACCTAAAAATTAAATGGCTTTCTTTGACGTACCCTCCAAGGCCAAAACCAGGGAAACATCCAAGTCATCCTTAGAACTTTCACTTCAGGACAATTAATTCAGATTCAATTCATGCAATGTATTCTCCCAAACAAAGCCCACTCCCACTTGGCAAATTTGACATGTATCACATATTGACATGTCATTGTTTGTCGTGGCCAAACGCAATTATGATATTCTTTCCACGCCATCTGTTTTCCATCGTCCAAAATACCCTCAATTTTGAGACATTCTTTTTTTGGAAAAAAAATCAATAAATTAGTAATCTTCATATATATAAATATTAGAGAAAAGATATGAATATTTTAGTAGAAATTATCGTTACGAAAGTCAATTTTATTATTTTAATAGCATGCATGTCAACTCTTGTGTGCCAATAGTCTTTGGTTTTGTTTAGTTGGTCACTTGGTTGTAATGATTAGTAATTTGTGCTTCTTTTGTTGATATATTTTTTCGGAAACAAACACAAAGTAAAAATAATTTGACTATGGCTTTGTAAAAGTAATAATCATTCAATTGAAGTAGACACTAGTTAATATGGTATGGGAAATCCAAATCTCGTATATACAATTTACTGAATTTTTTGGGAAAGTTCATAATTGGTTGCTTGTTTCATTATTTAAGTTCTTGAGAAATTTGTTTGCTTTTAAATAAATATGGAGATCTTTTTTAAAAATTCTAGAGACAAAAATTTCCTTTTAATTGAAATTAATTTTATAATTTTTAAGGACAAGTTTGTAAAAGGTTAAAAACACGTATGAGAAAAGTAAAACTTGTACGAGTTCTGCTCAGTGAATTACTTTCCTAATAAACTTAATTATTTTTTTGATGCTCGATGTGAGAATTAATTCTATATTTCTATGGGAAATTAAACCAATTAAGCAAAGAAACATTCATTAGTTTCCAAAAAGTTTAACTTTCCTGTTCTATTTATCCCAAACAGAGAAATGGTATTATGATAAAAGTAGTACTTTCTCATACCATGGACAATAGTAATTGGAAAGCTTAAAAATTAAATAAATTATAAGAAATATGTGCATATTTATCACACAAAAAATAATTTGTGAATAATTGACTAGTCACATATGGATGCAAAAAATGATTAATTTTGTGCCCTTATTTTGTTTGATTATGGAGGGGCAAGGGGAAAACAAGACAGGTGGGGTTGAAGCTGAAGAAAACGACAGAGAGAGAGAGAGAGAGAGAGAGAGAGAGAGAGAGAGAGAGAGCAAGTTTGATGGGGAAAGCCAACAAGGATTCTGTGTTGTCGTGGTTGGATGAGGTTGTGCCTTCTTTGATTCAACGTTCCTAATTAACCTTATACTATTTTCTATACTTAATATAAGAATTCGTTTGATTTTTATTTTGTCTTAAATATAAAATTTTAATTAATTTTGTCTCTCATATTTATCTATTTTTCTAAGATAGTCCCTATAATAATAATAGTTCTAGCTAATATATTGGATTAACAAAGATGTTTTAAAAAAGACAACACTTGTTTGTTACAAATAATTAACTTAACTAATTTTTTTAATCTACTCAAATTAGTCAACTAACTCTTATATTACAAACCGGAAATAGTATTTATATATTTGCCCCACTTCAACCCCTATTCTTGGCTCTTGATCCTCCCTCCCTCTTCCCCCTTCATCTTTATCTCCTTCGTCATTAATGTCTCTAATAATAATCTTAATAATAATAATAATAATAATAACAATAACAACAATAATAATAACAACGATTATTTATAATATTATTCATCCAAGATTGTGCTGTTCCGGTTCAAATTTTAATACCCACATGCACACAAGGAAAATTTTGTTCTCTCAATTGTATTAAATTAATTATCTTAGCTACAAAACGCCACTTTGAAAAATCTGTGGTCGTCTTGTCATAGTACTACTTCAATAATATATGCAAATTCACACACACACACACACATATATATATATCACGGGTATGTGGTACTCAATTTTTATTCAGAAGCATATGCTCCGTTATTCCGTTATATCCTGTTTTATCATTTACAATTTTTTTCTTTTCATGTATCAAATGAGCCTCTTCCATTTAGTGGTAAAAGCTCGTATTATACTCTTTCGGTCTTAAATATAAGACTCTTACACATACTAGTATAAGGGTTTTATATTTAGGACCGGAGGAGTATATTGTTTTGCTAGTTTTCTTCAAATCCCGATCAATTGTGATTTTAATTCCGTGCATGGCATTTCTAGTATAAGCGACAAGAGAATGCTTTTGTGTTAGAAAAAACTTGATGGAGGTTTAGCAACTAAAACATCTAAACAAAAATTGCGACTAACTAACATGATTTCTAATTTGTGTTGCTTATAAAAATCGTGATTATTTAAAATTGTATTTGTTCACTGCTAATCAAAATGATCACTCAATTAATAATGATTAGAATAATCATGCAAAACATCTTTCCATGACCAAACAATAAAAGAAAAAAAATGATTGAAGAGATTTTGATTAGAATATCACATGGAATTATTCTAAGTGATCCAAGAGAGGAAGTTTCTTTTATCAAATAAAATCAGAAAAAGTATGCGCGGTTAATCTTAAAAGGTGATTGTCATATAGAGTTAAAAAAAAAAAAAATCACAAGACATGCGCCATGAGAGCCACAATAATAAAAAGAGATTTTATAAAAGGCTATAATAATCCATTGTCCAACATCAAACTAGTCACAGTCGAACGAATAATATGTTAAACATGAATAAATAAGAAACATTATATTACCAATTTACCTCATGTTGTTTTACCTGAACATGTGAAATAAATGAGAGTACATGAATTCACTTGATAACATACTCTTGGATATCCGTGAGTCCAAAAAAAAAAAAACTCTTGGATATCCGCAATAAAAGAATCCTAATTAACTAAATAAATAATTAATACTCCTCCGGTCCTTAATATAGGATCTATTTAACTACTTTGATTAAATTAAAAAAAGTTAGTTAAGTTATACAATAATCATAAATATGACATATGTTTCCCAAAATACTTTTAGTTAAAACTTCTTTAAAAAACTAACATAAATGTTTTAGATTATTTTATTAAAAATATAAAACAGTAAAATTGATGTATTTGTGGAATTATTGAGTAATAAGTATTCACTCACTCTATAAAATATATAGGTGTATTGTTAATGACTAATAAGTATTATTGTGGTATTTGATTATTTAATAGGGATGATTTAGGAAAAAAATTGATAAATATGAGAAATATATCCTATATTTAAGGCCAAAATTAAGCTTCTAATTAGGTCTTATATTAAGGATTGAAAGAGTATATATTATAAATTTTATTCATTATATGTTACTCCTCCGATCCTAAATATAAGACCCTTATACATACTAGTATAAGGGTTTTACATTTTTATGTATAAGAGTCTTATATTTAGAACCGGAAGAGTACCTCTTATCCTTGATATAAGAGTTAGCTAGATATGAGTTTCGTTCAAAATACTTATATGGTCCTATTTACATACACTTTTTTTAGATGAAAATTTACATAACACTTTTAACAACACAAACTAAAAAAAATCTTGAATTGTATTAACTCTCCATTAAAATAAAATAACTTTTCAACTTTATCCCTATTTATTATATACACTTTTTAAAAAAATAACTATCTACATTTATATTCATGCAAAAAATTTAATGAAGTTATTTATAAATAAAACTAAGAAAAGTCTTTTCTCTCTGTCTTATAAATACGACTATAGGAGTATAAAATTTCAATCCATTTTATCCCATACTTATTTTTTTTAAAAAAATTATCCTTGTTAATTACACACGTTAAAGGAGTTTACATTAAGAGGTAATTTCAATGCAAATAATTCAAAAGAATATTTGTGAGAAATCAACACATATTTTTAATAAATAACTAATTTAATTTAATTTTTTAATTTATTCAAATTATTTAAATACTATATTTTTAAAAAGTCACAAATTCTTAATAGAAAACAGTAAATGATACACATAAAATAACAATAATATAAATAGAAATTTTCACATAAACATGAATGGATCTAGCCGCCTAGCATCTAGGCATGTTTATAAGCACAAAATTTAGTTCAGAATTTATGAAATCACATGAGATATGTTTAAAAACCAGATAAACATGTTTGAGTTAGAGAGAGAGAGAAGAGGGCATGGAGATGCTGAGGAAAAAAGATACAAGAGCAGCAAAAGCACAAGGGGGGATGAACTTTCACTAAACCAAGGTCCACCCTGTCATGTAAGCCCCCATCAACTTGGCAATTACGTGGGTCCCACCTTACATGCACAACCCACAACTCTCACATACCATTCACAACACTCTTCACAAACAAATACACACATGACCCACCTACCTGTTATCCTCCCTTCTCTCTCTCCCTAAGAATCTTCCTCCCCTGTTCCCTTGCCATCAGTTTGACCCACCACACCCATATCCTCCATAACTCTCCTCACACACACTCTCACAAATCACCATTATTCAAAATTATTAAGTATTTAATTAACTTAATTACCTATCTTTTTTATTTATCACTAAATACCATTTCCTTTTTCTTCTCTTCCTATATATACCAATCTATTCCTTCACCTGCTTCATTCATACTCTTGACAAATCAAACTGAAACCTTCTCTCTCTCTCTTTCTTCTTTCACTCTCTCTGGTCGTATCTGGTTTAAGAGAACACGGGCAATGGACGGAGGAAGCTCTATGGACGAAAGCATTACTACTGATTCAGTTTCTGTTTCCCTTTCTCCGGCGAAGATCCCGTCGAAGAAGTTATCGCCGCCGCCACACAACAGCCTTTGCCGCGTCGGCAGCGGTGCTAGCACCATCATCGACTCTGACATCGTCGGAGTCGAAGCTGAATCCCGGAAACTCCCGTCGTCGAGATTCAAAGGGGTCGTTCCCCAGCCCAATGGCCGTTGGGGTGCTCAGATTTACGAGAAACACCAGCGAGTTTGGTTGGGCACTTTCAATGAAGAAGATGAGGCTGCCAGAGCCTACGACATCGCCGCTCAGCGATTCCGTGGGCGAGACGCCGTCACCAATTTCAAACCTCTCGCCGACGGCGGCTCCGGCGCCGATGAACACGACGACTTTGAAGCCGCGTTCCTCAACGCGCACTCGAAAGGAGAGATCGTCGACATGCTCAGGAAGCACACTTACAATGACGAGCTGGAACAGTTCAAGCGCAACTACGGATTGACGGTGGACGCAAACGGGAAACGGATCATCAGGGAAGGACCCAAGGCTTCGGGTCGGGTCAACAACGCGCGTGATCAGCTCTTCGAGAAAGCCGTGACACCGAGCGACGTTGGAAAGCTGAATCGGCTGGTGATCCCTAAGCAGCACGCGGAGAAGCACTTCCCCTTGCCGTTGCCGGTGGGAACCTCCGCGCCGTACACGGCGGCGACGGTGGCCGCGAAGGGCGTGCTATTGAACTTCGAAGACGGAGGCGGAAAGGTGTGGAGGTTCAGGTACTCGTACTGGAACAGTAGCCAGAGCTACGTTCTGACCAAAGGGTGGAGCCGGTTCGTGAAGGAGAAGAACCTCAAAGCCGGAGACATGGTTTCCTTCTCCCGGTCGATCGGACCGGAGAAGCAACTATACATCGACTGGAAGAAAAACAGAATGAGCACCACCACCACCACCACCAGAACAACTTCAGGGGCGGAATTGTTAGAACCGGCCGGTCCAGTGGTGGTGGAGCCGATTCAGATGGTAAGACTATTTGGGGTCAACATTTTGAAGATGCCCGGTTCAGATGCCATTGCTCCTCCAAGTGGGTGTTACAATGGGAAGAGAAAAGAGATGGATCTGTTCTCATTGGAATGTACCAAAAAGCCAAAGATCATTGGAGCTTTGTAACATTAGCTTCTTTTTTCCCCCCTTAGTTTTAAATCATCTTTTTTCTCCCCTTTTGCCTATATATAATTATTCTGTTTTTCTTGAATTTTGGAAATTGTCTGACTTGTGAAGTAAGAAAGAGATGAATAGTGGTGATGATGTTATGGTTGTAGATGCAAATTGCAAAGGGGAATTTTGTATATTATTATTTAGACGGAAGGAAGAGGCCAACGAAAAAGGTGAAACTAGGCGCAACAATATTGTAAAATAATTATTATTATGAATATAATAATTCGAAAAAGAAAAAGGGATATTTCTATATATATGTATGTGTGTAACTGTTTTATTTTGTGTGTTCATTTACGATTGATGTGGTGCATTTCATGAGCGATTTAACTCTTTTTTTTTTTTTGCAGTTTCTTTGTGTTTGTGAAGGTCATGGGCAATTTGCCAATTGCTCGTGGCTTTTCCCAAAATATCTGTATGTTGACAAATCCAACATTTATTATTTTAGAGTTTTATATTCATTGGTCCCTGTTTGACAAATTTTATGTTCTGTGAAAACTTACCAAATTCAAAAGAAATAAAATGAATCAGACAATTCTTTTTCCCTTTTTGATCCATAATAGAGGACACATTGTATCTGACATGGGTACGTTGAATTTGCTTAGCTGTTATAATTTACTATATTTGTCTCTCTGCACATGTTTCTCCTTTTATTTTTATTATTTTGTTCTATATATTGTTTATAGATATTCAATAATCACATTGAAACCCGTTCCTGAAACGAATAATAAGAGTTATATTACATTTGTAAATGATAAAAATTATCACAGTTCACACCCACCTTTATTTATCTATAAATTTTAAGTCTTAGATGGTAGTGCTTCTGATTCTAAATATAAAAACTAATTAGAGGATTAGATTTGATTTTAAATATAAGATTTAGTCACTCTATCTTTTAAATTTATAATCTTTATTCCAAAATAACTCTACTGATTTTGTAAAGAGTTTCCATCAAAAGCTAATTCCAATATACATTATTAAGAACATCAATATAAATTTGTTATAAATAACCAGTTTAATTAATTTTCTTAATATTTTTAAATTAGTTATTTATTTTTTATATTAAATTAAGTGCAGAAACAAGTGTATATATATAATTTGGCGGTGCCCATATGGTATATAATTAAAAATTTGAAATTAACAAAAGGAATCTAGAGACTGAGAAAGAGAACTATGATTTGAATTTGGCTTCGAAATCCTACACAAGCTTAGCTGTTTGTCATTCAATAATTAATCTAATTAATCTGGAGTTTGACTTGATTTAGTGTTAATCGTGATTAATAAGCTTAACGCACCGAGCTATTTAGCCTCTGGGTCTACTTCGCAGTATAATTATTATTATTAGTACATCTATAGCTAAATCGATGACATTCGACACTCAATAATTAAATTAATAAAATATGTTTTGATTTCTTAGTGGATAGAATGCGTTAATTTGGAATCAAATTTTTCCTTTTATCATCATGAGGAGTTTGAAAGAAATTTTGAATAATTTACAAAAAAAAAGAATTTAAATAAACTTATCGCGATTGGAATCATGAATTTGCCCATATTTGTCTCCACGAAAGTTTATTTAAATTTACAAAAGCTGTGTGCATTATCGAAGCTATTACGCAATTTTTTTTAAAATTTTTTGAGTCATGTACAAATAATCCTCTTAATTATTAAAACTTAACAATGAAATTAAGCAAGCTACATGCAAATAGATAATGAACAAATTAATAATAGAAAAATTATTTGTATAAATGTAAGAGTTTACTAGGTTTATTATTAAACTATAAACTAGATATTATACTACCTCTGATCCTAAATATAAGAGTTAGTTGACTAATTTGAATAGATTAAGAAAATAAGTTAAGTTAGTTATTTGTAATACATAAGTACTACCTTCAGTCCTTAATATAAGACATAGTTTGACTTTTGACTTTTATTCAAGTATAAGATTCAAGTCGACTTGTCTCTCATATTTATTTATTTTTTCTAAAATAGTCCTTCTAATAATAATAGTTCTAACTAACAAATTTGATTAGGAAGGATATTTCAGAAAAAATAACACCTATTTATTATAAATAACTAACGTAACTTGTTTCCTTAATCTACTCAAATTAATAAATTAACTCTTATATTTAGGACTGAGGTAGTATTATCTTTTTTAAAATATTTTTGATAATGAAGTGTGTTGACTAAAACTATTATTATTAGAAGGACTACTTGAAAAAAATACATAAATATGAAAGATAAAATAGATCGGGGTCTTATATTTATGTCAAAATAAAAGTTAAATAATGTCATATATTACGAACTGAGGTAATATTAAAGATCAAAACTAGTATACACACATTGACACATGTACGCAAGCCTAGAAAGACGTATGATTGCACCTCTTTATATGTTTATGCCTGATTATTTTTGGGAAAATATTTAACAATTAAGCATTAATTTTGTCTCAACATTATATTCACGGACTAAATATATATATATATATATATATCTCTAAACTCTCATATATGACGTTTTAAAATGTGCTAATTATACGTTGCAGTTGACTCTTTTTTGGCCAAAAAATATATATTGGAGTCGACCTAATTACTTGTATGCAATAATGCAAACTACCAGTCGATATGATGAAAGAAAATAAACTATAGAACAAAGGTTTGACAGTTCAAATTTGTCCAGGTCCATTCCATTTTTTTGATAGGTCACCAATTCATTATCTTTGACTTACGACTTCATTTTGGGAAAAAGAAATTAGGTTTTTGGTATTATTTAGGCTACATGGCAAAAGCATATCTGAATTATATACCGTGTGCGTGTATTCCCAACATATTTTAATTATTTATGGATAAAGTTGAAATATTAACTGCCTCGTTAATTTAATGTCAACATTGTTGTTTTAAATATTATTAATAGGTTGGCAAAAAAATATTATTAATAGGCTGAATTATGTAAAACTCTTTGTATATAATATTTTAAAGTTTCAATTTAACTTCCTAACTTTTTATTTTTTTATTTTTATCATTGACCATTTGCTTTTAAGTGACTGTTATCCTTTCGACGAAAATTATCACATCATATCAATAGAAGGCAACTGGTGGCATCTTACATGGCATTTTGTGTAAGTTAATAATTTTATAAAATCCCCTCAACTTTAAGTCAATTGCATAAAACCTTCATAAACTTTAGAATATTAAATTCAAATTTGAAACGTCAGGGGGATGATATATAACTGGTCAAAAGTTTAGGAGATTTTTGTAAAATTAATAACTTACATAAAATGCTATGTAGGATGCCACATGTATGTCTTCTATTGAAATAACATGGCAATTACCGTAAAAAAGATAACGGCAACTTAACTACAAGATGTCTATGATTAAAAAAAAATAAAAAGTCATGGAGGCTAAATTTAGGCTTTAAAATATCATGGAGGTTATGTCCAATTGACCCAAAGTTTAGGGGGATTTTTGTATAATTTAGCCCTATTAATATTAGATTGGCAACAAAATATTAGTAATATTAACATTACACTATTTTCAGACTTTAATATAAAAGTTACTTAACCAATTTAAGTAGATTAAAAAAATTAGTTAATTATTTGTAATAAATATTAGTTGATCTTCATGAAGTATTATTTTTAATCATGATTTTTGTGTGTGAACGTAATCATGGTTATCCTTCTATAAAAACTCTCTTATTTGAAGAATAAATTATAAATTTAGGAGATAAAAAGATGGACCAAGGTTATGACTCAATTCAATTATCAACTAGTTTTTATATTAAAAACGGGAGCTAATATCATTATATGAATGGAGTCTAATGTTTTATGCACAAGCCTGCCTTCCTTAAAGTTAGCAGATAATAATATACTCTTCCGGTCCTTAATATAAAACCTATTTAACTAATTTGATTGGATTAAGGAAGTTAGGTAAGTTAGTTAATTATAAGAAAAGTGATGCATTTTTCCTAAAACACCATAATCATCTTTCTTAATACCCCTTCTCTCTTCTACTTGATTATGGTTGAGAGAATATCTAGAGGGGTAATTTAGAGAAAATTGATAAATATGAGAAATGGATCTTATATTTAGGACCAAAACCAATTTAAGAATTGGATCCTATATTAAGGATCGAAAGACTAGTAGATTTATCAAATTTAATTTTAACCAATATAAAGTAATTAAAAAGAAGCCATAAATTTCAAGTCATTACTGCTCACAAATAATTGTGTGCCCTCCACCACGATATAAAAGTAGTGTTCCTTCCAATTGATAGGAAAATTTTTATTTTATTAAATCATATAGCAATAATTAAGACTAGTACTAGTGACTACACAAATCTTTTTTTTTTTTTTTTTGCCATAGTTGACGTAAATATAATGTATTTACATGTACAGCTTCTTAATCTTCAACTTGACTTATTTAATTAATTAATCATTGTTCTCACAATTTATATATATATATATATATATATATATGTAGCCTGTGTCATATGGAGTGTGTGAGGAGGAGGATGCGGTAATAAATTGCATGTATATTTTCGTCGAAAGTTCCCACGCGCGCATGTCAAGGATGTAACCACGTACGTTAAGTCATTCTTCATGTCGTTTTGCTGATACTTCATCTTTTAGTTCAACTACTGCCACTTGTCCCCTTTGACCCTTTGCTAATAACATGGCCTCATATTTTTTTTTGACCAGATTTTTATTAAATTATGATAATGATACTCTCATATAGATACATATAGTTTTAATCTGGTCGTATAATCATTTTATTAAATCATATTTTTCCTATATCATATAAAATATAAAAGGTTAAGGTTGATTCAACACCCTCAAACATTTTGCTAAGAACATCTCACTCCCTAAATTATTTAGTAATTTATTTAGCACTTTAAAATATTTTCACATGTGTATTTATTACTTTAACGTGTTGTTTTGGTTCATCTTATACCCTAAAATATTCTTTTCAAATGTAGCAAGCACCCTAATATAGGGTTTAGGGTTAGAGTATTCAGAACGCTTCAGAAAACACTTCAAACTATTGGATGAATAGCAAAATATTTTAGGGTGCTGAATCAACTACTACCTCCGATCCTAAATATAAGAGTTAGTTGATTTATTTGATTAGATTAAAGAAATAAGTTAAGTTAGTTATTTATAATAAATATGATATTGTCTTTTCTAAAATATTCTTCATAATTAAATGTATTGACTAGAATTACTATTATTAAAAGGACTATCTTTAAAAAATATACTCCTCCGGTCCTAATTATAAGACCCAATTGACTTATTTGAGGAGATTAAGGAAGTAAGTTAAGTTGGTTATTTATAATAAATAAGTGTTGTTATTCCTAAAATATCTTTGCTAATTAAGTATATTGGCTAAAACTATCATTATTAGAAGGATTATCTTGGAAAAAAATGCATAAATATAAGAGAGAAAATAGATTGGGTCTTATAATTAGGACCAAATAAAAAGTTAAATTGGGTCTTATAATAAGGACCGGAGGAGTACATAAATATGAGAGATAAAGTGGATTTGGGTTATGTATTTATGATCAAAATAAAAATCAAATGAAATATTATATTAAAGACCGAAATAATACTAAATATATTGGACACGCCTCGCAAAACATTTCAATGACCCAAATATAAAATCTAATTAAAGCGTGAAGTCACCATTCTTAACTGTTTTTTCCCCCCCGGCTAAGTCACTCTTCGTAATCACCAGTCATACTTACAGACAATTGTTTTAAAAAAGTAGTGGATGTTTTAAAGAATAAAAATGAATACTACATCTTTTTTGGGTCAATAACATATTCTTCCTTGTGTGTATATATTTGATGATATGTATAATTAATTAAATTATATAACCTCCGGTCCTTAATATAAGACTCTATTTGATTTTTATTTTAGTTCTAAATATAAGACCCCAATCCACTTTGTCTCTCATATTTATGTACTACCTCCGGTCCTAACTATAAGACCCAGTTGACTTATTTGAGGAGATTAAGGAAGTAAGTTAAGTTAGTTATTTGTAATAAATAAGTGTTGTCATTCCTGAAAAATCCTTGCTAATTAAGTACTCCTCCGGTCCTTATTATAAGACCCCATTTGACTTTTTATTTGGTCCTAATTATAAGACCCCAATCCATTTTGTCTCTTATATTTATGCATTTTTTTCCAAGATAATCCTTCTAATAATGATAGTTTTAGCCAATATACTTAATTAGCAAGGATATTTTAGGAATGACAACACTTGTTTATTATAAATAACCAACTTAATTTACTTCCTTAATCTCGTCAAATAAGTCAATTGGGTCTTATAATTAGGACCGGAGGAGTATATTGGTTATAACTATCATTATTAGAAGGAGTATCTTGGAAAAAAATATATAAATATGAGAGAAAAAATGGATTGGGGTCTTATAATTAGGACCAAACAAAAAGTCAAACGGGGTCTTATAATAAGAACCGGAGGTAGTATTTTTTTTAAGGTGGTCTTTTTAATAATAGTAGTTCTAGCTAATACACTTGATTAAAAAAGATATTTTAAGAAAGACGATATCTATTTATTACATGTAGAATATCTGTTCAGGGTTGAATATTATTAATGCTCCCATCATTTTTTTTTTTGACCGGAATGCTCCCATCATTTTCACAGATAAACTTCTAAATGAGTTACGTTAAACAGCTATCAAGCGGTCTTCGTCTTTGGCCTCATCAAGCGGTCTTCGTTCTTGGCCTCATCTTTTCAATTCCACAGAGATTAATGTGGATCGTCCAGAAGCTTCATGAAAAGATCAAAAGGTCCCACATTAACTCAGACTTGTTGGTCAAGTCATGAGTATAAATTATGTGATCCTTAACATTTGTAAATTACTCGTCTAGATCTTATTTATATGAACATTTACAACTGGATGGACTATTTTTTTTTCCCCGGTTAATTAGATGGCATCCTAAAATATTTTCCTAGGTATGTCTAATAGTCGAAAGTATTCTTATATTCCTTAATATAAAACCTAATTAACTAATTTGAATAGATTAAGAGTGTTAGTTAAATTAATTAATATGATATATTTTTTCTAAAATATTCTAAATATCTTCCTTAATTTCTTCTCCTACTTGGTTATTATTAGGGGAATATCAATAGAGTTAATGTAAAAAAAATTAATAATAATGTGAAATAGGTCTTATATGTAAAACTAACAATAAATCTATGATTAGCTCCTATATTAAGGATAAGAGGAGTATTTCGTAGTTCATCTAATACCTTTAAATATTTTTCAAGTATATTCAATACTATAAAGCATTTTATAATTCATCTAGCACTTTAAAATATTTTTCTAGATATTTTCACTGCTACTCTGTGATTCGTCCGGCACTGCAAAGGATTTTTTAGATGCCAAAAATGAACCATAAAATATTCTTAAGATGTTAAACATAGAAAAAAAAATGCTTTTGAACGCTAAACAAATCTTAACCCTACTTTTTTTTTTTTTTCAAGAAACAAAATCCACAGAAAAAGGACTGGGGGTGGGGGAGGGGGGGAGGAGGCTCCCCAAAATGCACGTTAACGTTTGGCATAGAAAAATCAAAAACCGTATTGACGACGAGTTCAAGTCAAGCAGTGGCCTGGTGGTGTGTGTACATGAGACGTCACAAATTAAAACGAAAGGGTCCCACATGAAGGTGTCGCCATTGTTTGATGTTTCTTCATTGTGGTCAGGTCTTCTATTAAGCATGGGGACAGAGAAGAGAAGCACACCACACTTGACTGCTTCACTCGTACGCCTATATTAGTACGTCACAGTGAAGATGCTTCCCTCCCCACAGACTTTTTTATGTTTCTCTTCAAAGTCATCACACATTTCTGCATGTTACGTTCAACCTTACTTTTTTAGTTCTTAATATAAGATCTATTTAACTAATTTGATTAAATTAAAAAAGTTAGGTAAGTTAGTTAATTATAAGAAATGTGACACGTTTTTTTTAAAATACCATAGTCATCTTTCTTAATACCCCATCTTCTTCTTCTGCTTGATTATGGTTGAGGGAGTATCCATAAGAGTAATTTAGAAAAAATTGATAAATATGAGAAATGGGTCTTATATTTAGAACCAAAACTAACTCAATAATTGGGTCCTATATTAAGGACCAGAGGAGTATTATATAATTATTTCCGTTCCTTGATATAAGAACTAGTTGATTAATTTGAGTAGATTAAATAAATTAATTTAGTTAGTTGTTTGTAATAAATAGGTGTATTAGCTAGAATTTGATGAAACTTTTTAACATGTACAACTACTATAAAGATTATCTTAAAACAATGAATAAATATGAGAAATAAAGTGAATTTAAGTCTTATGTTTAGGATTAAATTTAATACTGCCTCTGACCCTTAATAGAAGACCTCATTTGATTTTTATTTTATTCTTAAATATAAGAAACCAATCCACTTTTTTTTTTTCATATTTGTTCATTTTTTTTCCAAGATAATCCTTCTAATAATAGTAGTTATAGTCAATAAATTTGATTAACAATGATATTTTAGGAAAAGCAACACCTATTTATTACAAATAATTAACTTAACTTATTTTTTTAATCTATTTAAATTAATTAATTAAATCTTATATTTAAAATTAGAGGTATTATTAAAGTAGCTCTTATGTTAAGAAATCGATTAGGAGAAAAAAAGAGGTAGTAATATCGATTACTAGGCCTGAACATTTGGGTTTTCTTTTCTGGTGGCAAGAAAGAAGAAACATTTGGGTTTCTCGGCATATTAACAAACTGTCCAAGATGTTTTTAAAAAAGAACATCAATTATTGGGCTTTGTTGGAACGGCCCATAAGCCCAGTTCGGAATCGTAATTTCATTCCGAAGTTCAAATAAAAATCCCTCTAATTCCATTATCCGCTTTCTGGTTATCGGTCCTTGAGGAAAATGGCGCTCACTTCTTCAATGTCTCATAGTGCAATTCTGAAACTGTCTTCCTCCACGCATGGCGAATCGTCTTCTTCGTCAAGTTCTACTCTTTTCATGGGAGCTCCGATTTCCTTGTCGCGCTCTACGCTTTCTGGTTCGTCAGTTCACCTTGAAGCCTGTTTTTTAAAAGTAGAATTTTATAACGGAGAAGATTTTTTTTCCCTTAGGAGTAGCCTTAGGTTTCGAACTACAAATGTAGTGAAAGAAAGTGGTTATTTTTTCCTGTTTAAAATCAATGAGAGTTCACTGAATTATTGCATTGCAAGGCTTCTGATGCCTACTAGTTCACAACTTAAGCACCGTTGAATTATTCCTTCGGGGCGTTTGGTAGGTAGGTGTTCCAATTGCTGAAGTATTATGATATGAAAGCCTATTTGTTGCAGACCTGCTGATCTGGCTGCAAAATATATGAAATATCCAGGATCTGGCGTGTTGATTATTGCATTGCCAATATCTTGAATCTTTAATTTGTCATATATCTCGTATGCAATTATATTGCGAGTAGGATTTCGAGTACTTGAAGGATTAGGATGCTCACTTGCTATATGCCACTGGTGTAATTAACACGCTTTATGAATTTTCATGTTCCAGGAAACCAATCACTTCATAGAAAACAACTTGTGGTTTTCTCTAGGAAGATGTCAGGATTGGAGGAGGCCATCAGAATCAAAAGGTAGGCATACATGTTTGTAGTTGAGTTATGCTCTGTGGTTTATGTTTCTAACCCGTTACTCAATTATATGTAGAGCACGCGAGCTTCAAGGTGGGGCAGAGGTCAAGAAAAGGCCTCCATTGAGGCGGGGTAGAGTATCACCACGTCTCCCTGTCCCTGACAATATACCGAAGCCTCCTTATGTTGGTTCAAATACATTGCCCGAAATTTCAAGTGAGTATCAAATTCATGATTCTGATAGCATTGCTAAAATGAGGGCTGCTTGTGAGCTTGCGGCTCGTGTCTTAAACTATGCAGGAACTTTGGTTAGGGTAAGATTTTCGCTTTTCAGTTTATTTTGTAAATAACTGATTTGATGTTACCTACTTTTGCGTGTGGGAGTTCATTTTGATCATCAAGTGATTACTTCAAAATTTAATCTCTATGTACAAATTTCTGTGTCTAATGCATGGTTTTGGCTTGTTAAGTAATAATTTTGTTTCACACTTGAGTACTTGAAAATGTTGACATTGGATTCCATCATCATAGTTATTGACCTTGTCATGAATATGAAATATGTTACTAGAGCTAACGATTTCTTGAAATCATATGGTCATAAATGTATGAGCATGAGAATGACATAATCTATTGAAGTTATTCCTGATCCAAAGAAGTATTTAAGCTGATGAGATTTGCATATGCTTCCAACCTTCAGCTACTTAAATTCTGAAAATATTGAAGATAGAAGCAAATATAGAATTCTAAGTATGTGTGCGATAGATAAGCGTGGTGGCACAAAGCCATATATTAAATTGGGTTTACTAGATGTGAGTTATCTACTTCACTCTAGCCTCTGTAAGTTAAATACTTTGGTGAAATTTGATGTTTTGAATTTGTTTGACACCATAGAAGATGAGTAGTATATATGTGGCTATGTGCTATTTGGGGGAAAAGGAAAACTTACTGCCAGTGATCTTTACCATTTAATCATCTTTCTAACAAACTTGTTTTTCTAGTCTTACAGAGGTATTCTTTATGATATACAGAGGAATTGGTGAGTCCTCCTAAGTGGATGCTTCTCTTATTCATGTTGAATGGATCCTAGTCCTTGTGTCCTATTCTATTGGATTATTTCATTTTTCATTAAAAAAAAAAAAGAGAATGGTTGAGAAGTTGCAACCAATAATGATTGCTTATGTCTGTTATGTAGTGAATGTTATTTGTTTAACTACAAATGTGTCCTTGTAATGTTTTGCCATGATTTCTTGTCATCTCTTCATTGTGCACCACTTTCTCTGTTTGACTTGGACTTGGCTTATATTTTCAGCCTTCTATAACGACAAATGAAATTGATAAAGCAGTGCAACAGATGATAATTGATGCTGGTGCTTATCCCTCACCCCTTGGATATGGTGGATTTCCAAAAAGTGTGTGCACATCTGTTAATGAGTGCATGTGCCATGGAATACCTGATTCCCGGCAGTTACAGGTTTTGCAAGCCTTAATTTCCCTTTTGGCCTCATCCTTAGCATGCATATGATTCATAACTAATTTCAGTTTTCATTATTTGCAGAACGGTGACATTATTAACATTGATGTGACGGTCTATCTGAATGTAAGCTTCTCAGTTTTTATGAGAATTTAGTCAGCATTACTTGAACCCTCAACCTGATTTAAAACAGCTCATTTGTTGACAGTCCTAGCACTTAATGTGGCTTCTTTTTAGTGTTTAGCTCAGTAGTTAAGGAACATTTAAGGAGTCTGTCTCATGCATGTGAAATGGAATTGTAGGGTTTTATTATATGATGCGACGTACTACTATAATAGTTGTTTGAAACTTCGGGCCTGTCTATTGGGTACCATGCTGATTGCAAGATTGCAAATATTCTCTCCTTTTCTTCTTACTCTGAGGTAGATTAAATTCATAAAATACTAAAATAACGCACTTAATTGTATAAGCTGAATGTCTTTCATGGTCTTATGATATAAGCATGCTATTTTTAGTGACCAAATTATCTGATGCGATATTTATTGCGTGTTAGGGATATCATGGAGACACATCAAAGACATTTTTCTGCGGGGATGTAAGTGATGCTATGAGAAAGCTTGTTAAGGTAAGTGTTTGTCAGCTGACGTATGTTGCATTAAGTGGTATCTTATGCAAAGATTTAGGTTATGCATTGACCACACTATTTTGTCCTATGTCGATAGGTAACTGAAGAGTGCATGGAAAGGGGAATAGCTGTTTGCAAGGATGGTGCTCCTTTTAGAAAAATTGGGAAGAGAATCAGGTACATTTGTAGGGTCATTATAAAGACAAACCTACAATGTTCTATATTCGTGAAATTGCCAGCATTTATCTTGCATTGCTTGTGAAATATGTTTCCCATTTATTATTGAAGAACAATGTTGTTTGCCAAGAGAGAGAACCTGTTAACATGACATGTATGGCAATGTGTTCCTTCTCCAATGAGAATTAAGAATAGATAAAGACACTAATTAAACTTCCTGGAGCCATCTTTAATAACACCAAATTCTATTCTGAAGCATTTACCAAGTCCATTACGGACTAGATATGGGGTTGGAGGATAACTAATAGAGGATAACTAAATAAGGCTTTAATAAAATCTATTCCTAATGGAACAGAAATAGCCAGCGGACTAATCTCGAAAATAAAAATACAATGGCACATGAGAACAGAAGATTCTAAAGAAGGCTCTTTGAAGCTACCATTGCCTGCCATCCAGCGCACCTACAGTAGCGCATGTGACACTAGCACCTGCGTAGCTTCTCTCTGTTGTATATCTAGCAGTGAGATGTGTTTCTTTGATCAACTATACAGTTGATTTTTTTTTGGGTCATATTTTGAGCTTTTCCCTTACTTTTGAAACATTTCTCAGTGAGCATGCTGAAAAGTATGGCTATGGTGTAGTGGAGCGTTTTGTTGGTCACGGTGTGGGAACGGTTTTTCATTCCGAGCCAATAATTTTTCATCATCGTAAGTGAACTATCATCTGTATCATATTTTTCTCCTGTTGCTTTTACTCTCTTGCAATGGTAGCCTGCCTAACAAACAAATCCTGTTAACTTGCACGTTTGTATCTTGTTTTTCCTACGATTTATGCTAATAACTCTGGTATTCTTAAATTTTTAATAAAGTGTGCTATGAGGGCCTTGGTTATTGGTAAAGCTAATTTGCAACATTTAAGTCGGAAAATCATTTCATTTTCAACATTGATGGGGTCTGATCTTTCCATAGAAAAATTTCTGCTGATCAGTAAAGTTGAAAGGCTGGTAAATTAGCATTTGGCTTGTATTTTAGTAATTGACTTATTTTTTATTTTCTAAGAAATGATATAATCTACAAAAGGACCAAAAACAGCATTTAATATGGCATCCCGTCTGTGTTCTAAAAACTATCTGTCTTAGTTACTAATCTATTATTTTTTAAGGAACTTATATTTTTATTTCATTGCTTGACAGGTAATGACAAGCCTGGGTGTATGGTTGAAGGTCAAACATTTACCATAGGTAAGTCTATGATTATTTTTACCTAGAAACTGAAGTAATCATCTCTAACCGAAGTTATTCCTTTGGTATTGCTCTAATTTATTTCTTAACTATCCTTTCCTTTTAGACCAGTGGTTTTGTTGGGGTTGAGTGATGGCTCTTGTATAGTGTTTTAGATGATGAGTGGGGACTCTGGGCAGGGAATATTTTTTTGTTGAGATTTTCCCCAATATCTGCTCTCTCATTCTTTTCCAGTTCATAGGTAGACCACCAGCGGGAGGGTTCATTCCAGAAACAGAAATGAGGGCTGTTATGGGACAATGGGTTGTTTGGGGCAGTATGCCTTGGACGAATAACAACAGACTGGGGATGGAAATAGTAAAGGATGATTGTATGTGCTGTGAGTGTTCATGTTCACCCCAAACGTAAGTTAGTTGAAAGAGAACAAGTTAGGCAGAATTTCAGTATCTCAAAGAGGTCTTGAATCTTGATTCTCTGGAGGTAGGAGGTTTTTCTTTCTGGTTCTATTCGTTTTTCTTAAGATGCAAACTTCGAATAATGGAGTCATGGCCAAAAACAAAAATAATGAAACAATCGAATGATGGAGCTTAGCTTGGCCATGACATGGAATGTCAAAAATTGTATAAAACTCAACTCTGCTTACCCTATCACTGGAAAGAATGCTTAGCATTAGCACTACTATCTCAAAGCATGTAAGCTGATGAAGACGGGGGCCACAATATGAGAGCAGATACCGCAACACAATAAAATTAAAACCCTTCGCATGCATGCCTCTTGAAATGTCGAATGCCTAATTTTTTAGTGCGCATTAATCCCACTTTTATTCCTTGCTGCCATTTCTGCAGGGGTTCTTTCTTTTTTTCTTATAATTCAATCATCAGAACATTATAGTTATAACTAACTTGACTCCCAAGCATTAGACAGAATCTGAGAAATAAGTTGTTTTATTAACCATTTGTTAATAGTATGTTTTGCTGTAGATTTTAAATATTTTATATTGATCATGATATTGATTCAATGCTATGTCTCTCTATACCTTTCTTATATTTCCATGCACATCTTCTGATTCATGTTCAATTTCTTCATCATCAAGCTCTACACCATAATTTCTGTCATGGTATTTGGTGATCTTTGTCACCTCTTTCCTCACATCCCTTGTGTCATAGCTAGAAATGAGAATCTCAAGCTAACTGATTTGAGACTTCAGTATGAAAGCTTTAAATTCTCAATGGTTTGAATCCTTGTTAGAAGAAGCGATCTCTTGCATATAACGTAGGCATGATAACAAGACACAGGTTGCTTTCTTAACGTATTGAACGAGTTGGGCAGTGCTTGAGTCTCTCATTGTTGCCTCTCAAATTGTCTTAACGTATTGAACGAGTTGGGCAGTGCTTGAATCTCTCATTGTTGCCTCTCAAATTGTCCCTCCACCGCAGAACCTATCCTTACGATGGGAAGCATCGAGTGCATTACATGGCCAGACAATTGGACAACAGTGACTGCTGATGGGAGTCCAGCGGCTCAGTTTGAGCACACAATTTTGATCACTAGGACTGGAGCAGAAATTTTGACTACCTGTTAAATTCTGACAAGATCATGTGATTTTGAATGCTACGTGGGTCATTAATTAATTGTAAATAACTTGCCTCCTTTCTTCCGGTTCTGGTGAGAGCTATATAGGAAGGCTAGGCCAGACCCATGGAGATAGAGACACCACAGAGTAGTGAGTACCATCTTCTCTTGTGCATATGTATACGTATAGATTCATTCAATGTATGAATATTATTGTCTCTGTCAAAAACACAGAGATATCTGAGATGTGATTTTTTAGTTTTACATTTATTGTGTCAGCAAATGCATGAGTTTGCTGCTGCTAAACAGTGGAAACTTGCAATAATGCATTTTGGAGGGTTGCTGATCCTATTTGAGTAGCTCTGCAGAATAGACCTGCGCTGCAGATTATGATGCAGTGGTCAACACATAAATTCTGTTTATGTTGCAAGCTGAGGTCTCATGCACAACACTGGATTTTTAACTCATGCTGGAGATGATAATTTAAGCATTTATGTACTTGCACTTTTTGTATGCAGATTTTGTTAAAACATGTGATGATCTTTGAAAAAGAAAAGAAGAAAAGCTTAATGCAACTCAATAAATATATGAAAGAAAATTGAGAAAGAATGCCCGCAACGCTTTATTCATGCCTTATGAATATTTTCATCCTGTAAATTTTGTATTTAAATATATGGATATTGATTTCAGCTTCACATGTGAATTTTATACAAAATTATTTTACAATGAAAAAAGTAGGATGGGAAGAATGAAATCATTATTTGCCTCGATGAGAAGACATTGATATCAAATCGAGAACTTTTGTTTCATGTCTTAATTTTATTTTCGTAATTTCCCTTCCTTATGTTTTGTAAATCAAATGTCAAAAATTTTATTTTATTTTATCAGAATGTCAAGTTTCTATCACGTGGACAAATTTATGCATTTTCAAAGTGATATAAAATTGGATATAAATCATATTTTATCAGTTGACATAAAATGTTACTGTTTATATTGGTTGGAAAAATTATTTTCCCCAGCAAAAAGAAATTATATATCAAATTTAGACAACATTTGTGCATGCGCATTAAAAGGGATTACTTCTAGGGGAAAATATTCTAAAAGATCGAATTTTTTTAAATGTTGAATGATTGAGTTTTTGAAATTATTTTAAAGGGGTAAGGTCATTTTTTGAAAATAAATAAATAAATAAATTATGATCACCAAAGTATCCTTATTATCTGGATTATAGTTTTGATTTAGTTGTAACTTGTAGTGGTAAATTCTCATATTAAAATTGTAAATTTGTATTCATTGATTCTTAAATATTCATACTTAAACACATAATTCACGTTCTTTATGTGTATTTAGTACTTAAAGAATTCAAATTTACAATCCCTATTACAAGAATTTACAATTCAGAGTTACAAATTTAATATTTTTTTTAGGTAGATATGGACCATGTCCTTCAAAGTACCAATGGGGATTAAGTCTAGCGGAAAGGGCTAGTCTCTCACAACGTGACGAACCAATGTTCGAATCCTGTACCCACATTTAGTATCCGACAGTGCCTCGAATAGGATTGCCTCCAATAGGAGGATACCTATGCTTTAGCAAAAAACAAATAACATTTTATTTCGTCTATAATTTCCCCTATATACTTCCAGTCTTGAGCCACTATCCAATATTTGATAATTGGTTGTGTGTATGTTAATTTTTTGTATAGTTTTGAAAGTTTGGATAAATTGAGTAATAATAGCATTCTAATCGCATCGATCCAATAATCATTTGCAAAATCATTTATACATATTTACTAATAGAATTATCATCTTAATATGATTTTCGAAGAGTTTTGCAACTCCTTACAATTAATCACTTAAAAAAGTGCTTTTATGCAAATCAAAACAAAATTTTTCTCATATGTTCATCTTGTATACCGTAAAATTACTTTTAAATATTTCTACAAGTGTTCTTTTAAGCCTTACGATCACCCGATCAAGTTTTCAAATCTATATAAAATTCTAATTAGCCAAATTAAATGTTAAAAACTCACGTACGTCTTTCATTTTATGAACAATAGTACCACCATGACATAATTACGACACTGGTTTGCTGCTGCAGCAACTGAAAAACAACACACTTTCGGTATCACGCGAGGCGATCCAAAGCAAAAAGAAGAGCATAATCAATTATTTTAATTAATCAGATACATAACTTTTTGCATTGCAAAAGTCCTTTTATCTGCAACCAAAAAAAAAAAAAAGTACCTGAGATTCAAAAGCTCGCCGGATAGCAAAGTGGTGGGATCATATAATCTCTTGAACAGATATATATATTTGCGAGGAGAGGACAGTTTAAGTTGAGAAGCTCTGTGAAAGAGTGTACATACATACTCAGAAAACAATTGTAGTAATCATAATAGGGCTACGGGTATTTTTGTCCTAAAAATATTAGCAAGGAGTCATGAGTATTTGAAAATTTTAATGAATTAATATTGGGAGAATTACAATGAGTCCTAATTAAGAAAAATAATTAAAAAACAAGTTTTACAGGTTGTCATTCTCACTATAAGACTTGTTATAATAGGTTGTTGAGGTTGTTATTGGGACCTTTGGGTAATTATTTTTCTTCTGTGGGACTTGGTTATAATTTCCCCATTAATGTTACTCCGGAACTGTTAAAAAGGTAGTCATGTTACTTTTCACGTTAAAAATATTGATGATCAATGTTAATTTTATTAATATTTAATACAATATCGCTTCATTTTTAATGTACTTCGTGAATACTTTTAAGATAAAAACAATTATTAAAACAAATCACTTTATTCAAATGTCTTGGTACTTAGAAAAAGATTGATCAACGATATTGCTGCAGTTATGCCCAATCAACACAAAAACTTGTCAGTCATCTATGAAAAAACAAAATTTATTTGTTGGTTGCATTGTACCATAAGATACAAAATCTTGTTTGTTAATATATGAGACTGACAAGTTTTTCGTAATGTAATGTATGCCAATTTTATAGGCATAGCTTTTGAGGACTTTACGTACAGATATTGCAGTACGACTACATGTTGTGATGATGCACACATTTCAGAATGGCGTATGATCATTAATTAGTTTGTGACCTAATTTTATCTTTATTCACATCCATCACAAGCTAATTAATTACCATCTTTCTCAATATAAGAATTAGGTAATTAATTTTAAAATATTTTAAAAAATTATTTAAGTTAATTATTTGTCATAAATAGATATTGATCTTTTTAAATTATCATCCTCAATTATGAGTATTTAGTAATTAGAATTATCTCTTGATAGGAACTTCTTATAATTAATAGGGATATTTTAAAAATCAAAAAAACAAATTAATGTGAATTAAGGTATATTTGAGATTAAATTTAACTCTCAATTAGCTTTTATATTAACCACAGGAGATATTATTTTTGTGATCTCATGTTTATTGATATTGTAGATTCTCATTTTGGGGTCTATCGACTCCATTATTGCGTTGTTATTTGGACTTTGAATAGCTATTCCATTTAACTAGCTGCAGTATTTGCGTGGCACGAAATCTGCTCTTATAAATGAATTTTATTGTACTACTTCTCATCTTTAATACTACCTCTGATTCTATTTATGAGAGCTAGTTGACTAATTTGAGAATATTAAGGAAAGAAGTTAAAGTTAATTATTTATAATAAATAAATGTTGTCATTCCTAAAATATTATTATTAATCAAGTGTACTGACTAGAACTATTATTGTTAGAAGGACTGTCTTGAAAAAAAAAATATAAATATGAGAGACAAAGTGAACTATGGTCTTATATTTAGGACCAAAATAAAAGTCAAATAAGGTCTTATATTAAGGACAGGAGGTAGTATAAGGACTAGTTTGAAATTTAATTTAGTTCTAAATGTAAAATCTGAATCCACTTTGTTTTCAATATTAATTTATTTGGCCCTTAATCGTTAGGTACTACAGATTAAAAAAGCTATTTTAGTTAGTTATTTGTAATAAGTAAATGTTATCCTTCCTAAAATATTCTTATTAATTATGTGTATTTGAATTATCTATTGATAGTAATTTATTAATATATGTAACTACTATATGAATTAATCATGTGTGTCTAAATTATGCTAATAGTAATTCCTTAATTATTTATAGCCTATTTTTCAAAAACATATATCAAGGCAATAAGGTGGGACACCACGTGATGTGAGAATCTCAAAAAATGCAAACCGTTAACTGTGATATAATACAAACATTGTGTAGGACAAAATACTTTTTGAGTGTATATGTAGACTTTAAATTTGAAGATGCCACTTTATATATAAGTTGAACAATAATATAGAGTATATAAAATGAATTTCAAAATACATAAAAATTTTCGTTATTTAAGCTAAGTGCAGTGCTTCGAATACAGAGCTAAAGATCCACAAGAGAGAAAAGGAAGTGGAATTGCTATATATATCTAACATAAAATTAGGTTCATGGTTTGCTATAGCTTGAGAGAAAGTGAGCCTCAGAGTAAAGATAAGGTTGATGCCATATGACTTAGAAATCACAAGTTCAAATCGTAAAAACAGCCTCTCATTGACAAAGATAAAGCTTCGTATATCTGTGCTCAGACTCCACCTGGTGAGAGCCTTTCGCAATGAACTTTCTAAATATAGGTTAAGGATAAAGCATGGGGCCATGAACAATGAAAACAAAGGAAGATCAATGCAGGGGCATTATTAAGAACAAGCATTATTCATGATAAGTGGCACTACATTCATAAATGATAATGTTGTGGACAATTGGTGCAGCTAATTACATGTGTGTGCTTAGGTTAAAAAAATACATATTTCAGTTTTTGTTTAAAGACAGTATTTTATTATATATATTTAGCAATTTGGATATGGTCGTTTAATGAGAATAATTTAAAAATAAAATTTCAATTGAGAGTACAAAGGATTGAACCATTAAAAATATGGGGAAATATCTAAGGACTTGAATATTAAAAAATTTAAGTTAAAATATCTTTAAAACCACAATTATTTTCAAATATTAAAGTCATTAAATATTAATTAGGGAATTCATTATTAAATTAAGGATTCTAGTTCTATATTTGAAAATTTTGCTACTAATTACGTACTCAAAATGGTAATTTCCTTAAAATCCAATTATATCATTTTTTTTTTCTTTTTCAAATATAGCAGTAAATTCCTTAGAAATTTACGCAAACTTTATTCTTTAAAGTAGCTAGAGTGCAACATGTACATTTGCTTGGAGCCTAAAATAAGTTGCGTTACGTTATTTATGGCTCTTGTACATTACCTTTCTACAGTTTTGATATGTAATGTTAATAATTCTAATCCCAAATATTATTTAGACTA